CGGAACTGCCCCTCAAGCTGCGGACAAGCAAACTTGTGGGACTGACTGTGTCGGTCTTGGGGCAGGGAGAGGAGACGCTGCTGCAGGCCTGGCTGCTAAGCTGCTGTGTTACCAGTTACCAATCAATCAATCACAATTCACTCAGGGACCAGGGGCTCGGGGATCAGCTTAATACACAGGACCCAGCTAGTACATAATGACTTACCAGCATCAATTAGCACCTACAAAACCAGGCTGAGGAGAGGAAAGACTCAATACAGACAATCAACTGCCCCAAGACAGACACAGTCTTGGCACTAGTTTTGCCTGTCAGCAGCTGGGAGGTGCAGGGCCCCTGACCCCCCTGCACCGATCTCCTCGACAGCTGGCAGGCATCACAGCAGGGGCCACCATCCCTGCAGCTGTCACCCTGCTGTGACTTAGCACATGCAGTGTCACCCATGGCACGAGTTTTGCTTGTCCGCAGCTTGAGGGGCAGTTCCCTGCAAACCCCTGTACGGTTCTCCTTGAAACTTGGTAGCTCTTACTGAGGCCACAAAGCCTGCCACCTGTGCAGTTTTGACCTCCCTGTGGTGTAACACATACAAGTGACATGAGTTTTGCTTTCAAGCATTTGGGGTACAGTTCCCCACAAACCTCTGCACCAATCTTCTTGAAACTTGGCAGGTTTTGTGGCCTCAATAGGAGCTACCACCCCTGCAGTTTTCACTCTGCTGTGGTGTGACACACAACCATGACATGAGTTTGGCTTTCAAGAATTTGAGGTATAGTTCCTCCCAAACCCCTGCACTGGTATTCTTGAATCTTGGCAGGTTTCATGCTCTCAGAAGAGGCTACAACCCCTGCAAGTTTCATCCAAATCGGGCAAAAAACAACAAAGTTATAGATATTTCATTGATTCCCTATTATACCCTATGGCCGGATCCCAAGGCAGCTCCGAGGCTTCAGAGCCACTTTGAGGCGGAAACTCGGTCCAGAGCTCTGGATAGGATCGGGGCCATCTGAAGTGGCTGGATCCAAAGCCGGATTGGATTGGATCGCTACCAACTCCTACAGGCCTAGTGGTTAAGCATTGGAATAGGCTTCCTAGAGAAACTGTAGAGAATCTCCAGCCTTGGAAATTTTCAGGAGCAGGTTAAGCAGACAGTTGGCCAAGATGGCTCAGTCAGGGCCTACCCTGCCTTTAGTAGAGGGCTGGACTAGATGACTTCATGAGGTCCCTTCAAACCCTGCTCTCCTGTAAAATCTAAACACATTCAAGCAACCCCCAGTGGAATTTAGGAGTCAATGCAATACAGGAACAACTTAAATTTTCCTGCAATATGACCTTTCTTTGCCATGGGTTAAGACCAAGGGGGTCGCATTTGATTTTTTTTTTTGTTCTTTAGGTACAGCAAAAATGATCTATACAGCTGTGGATGGCAACACTGCACAAGAAACAACAGCAAACCAAGGAAAAGGCAGAAGGACTATGCAACAGGCATCTCCACCAAAGCTTCAAGTAACACTCTCCACCCATGGTTTGCTGAACTCCACTAGTTTTGCATAACATCCAGGCCAGCCTAGACCTTCACTGGAAAGCTCTCAAAGGTTTCATTCTGTAGACAACTCCCAAACAGGGTCCACAGACTCTATTTGAGAGATTTAATGGACTAGCTAATTCTTGGCAATCTACAAAGTATTGCTTGCTAGTGGTGATGAAAAGATGCCATTTACCTCAATGAAAGCTCCATCACCGAGTTGTGTCAGAACCCACAGCATGGCATTCTTACTAGCAGCACCTGAATCAGACCAGTTCTGTTCACCTATGAACTTGGTCTTGCTGACAAGCAATTTGAGGGAGCTGCAATTTTAATATAATGATGAATAAACAAATGAAAGACTAAGTGGTCCAAAGTGCCTTGGCTTTGTAGGAACACCCAGACCTGGGAACTAATAATGCTGAACACTTGGGAGCATCTTAGATACAGTAACTGCTTAGTGGCAGAGTTGCTATTGAAAGAGAGGTTCCAGGCCCACTGCACTGCATTCACAATAGCCAGCTTACCCAAAGTAATGTAGTTTAACAAAGAGCACACGTTGGTTGTATTGAAAATCAATCCTTAATAAAAGCAACAGACATATTTCCTGATTTTTGCAATCACTGCTGTAGTTTTCAAACATATATATATATTAGATACTGTACCATAGTTTTCTGGTGTTACATTCCTGGGACATAGGCAGTCAAACTCAATGGCAACAGAGGACATTTAGAAAAGGAGTGAAACAGCAAGAAACTATCTGGAATCACGAAGCCTAGTCACTAGAAGGGGCTCTTGGAGCATGACAGCTAGTACTCTGAAATGCCTCTGTTGGACCATCTGGAGTCCATTACTTCAAATTGCCTTAAGGAGAGGCACTGCTACTCCTCCCAACTGAAAGACAAGTGTGGCCAGCTGACACACCCCAGCTGGCCAGTCAGTCCAGGTAGGCCCGTCAGTAAAAATCTTGATGGTAACCCTTTCTCTATAGAGCTCTTACCAAGGTGTCCCAGGTCCAGGTCTTTCTGAGTGGGCTGGATGGATTGCCTAGACTAGGTCAAGGGCATGAATGTGGTATACAAGTGCCTGTGATTATTTCCCTGGCCTGCATCCTTCCTAGATAAGAGATGCCACAAACTGTTAAGGACTTGACATGGGGAGTTGGGGATGTAACCAAGAATCCCATTAGTTACCTATGTTCCCAAGCTCCCTTACCCAGTACTTGCTTGCTTGAGGTTCCTAACCCAGATACTGTTCCTGAATGCAGATACTAACAAGTTTTCTTAGAACTGAGGAGAAATCACTGCCCTTTTAAAACAAAGCTGAAGATAGCTTCCAGCATCACTTTCTCCTTTTATGTAACAGTGATTTGAGCACTCACCCAGCAAGTGGGCCACCTGAGTTGAATTCTCCCTTTTCATCCCAAGGGGGCTCACTTACATCTCACAAGTAAATGAGCCACTGTACTTTAAGCCACACTGGGTAGGTTAACACTTACTACCCATCTGTCTGAAACTGTACTGTGCCACAAAAAAAAAAAATACTCAAGACAGACTATGCCAGAAACATAATCCTGTAACCTATTGGTAAAGGAATTTCCTTGACAGAGGAAGAGCCCTGGATTTCAGGGTTTTCCCCAAAACTAGCAAGTGCAATTCGCAGTCATTGGATAAAACATGAAAACACATAGGCAAGCAGGGACAAAAAAAAATGTAGGGTTTTCTCCTCCCTCCTGGAAAGCACCCTAGTAATCCATCAGGCTAGTCCTGCTCCCTCTTACGGCTGTCTGGTGCAGAAAATGTTTCATTCCTTGCTGCATAGTAATCTAAACCCTCATGCTGAACTATGATGTGTACCTATCTCTAACCATGCAATTTATAGGGAGCTGGAATCTGTCAGCACCCAGCATAGCTACTGGTTCAAGTGCATCACAAGACTTGAGTAGGGGAATTATTTTGTCCCCGTATCACCATCAGGCATCCCACACCACAGATCAGCTGTTTCAGATGTGCACCCTAACTGCCATGGGAACATCCCAAAAACAAGGTTTGACTGGCACTATCTTTTTAAAATCAGCAACAGTTTTCACATGCAAGCTACCCTAGCTCTTGGGGCCACAAGCAGTGTCCATGTAACCAACTAGACTTTCCAGTCAAACTACTACATATTTGTATAGCTTCCTCCAAATGTAGACATTACTGCCAACTCAATGCAATTCTTTCAGAGTACCAAAGATTATTGTACCCTAAGGACACACAGATACAAGCAGGTCCCAGGTACTGCTACAGGCAGCAGGAAGGCAGGCACTTCTTACTCCTGTTCCCTCAACTTTTTACCTGCAGCAGTGTCACCCCTATGCAGGATACTCAGGAAATTCTAGTTCTGTTGGGCAGCAGCAGAGTGGGCTCCCCACTCCCCATGGGTGTCTGTAACAAACGAAGGAGGCTAAACATCCCTCAGCAACAATAAAGCTCAGTTACTGTTCCTGCCTGTTCACAGGAATTGATGAAACCTCCAGAACAGTCAGGCGTAAAGAAAAAAAAAAGAGAGCTGTTCAAGTCACATTTCTGGCCTCTAGAAGACTATTACTTCTAATGTAAGAATTCAGGCCAAGTTGTACACAACTGACACATTCACAACTGAATGAAAACTGTGGTAGGCTTGGACTTGTTTCCAGAATGCAAGTTTCCAGAGTACATGTAACTTGCAGCGCTGTCTCTGTGAACACCATGCCTCCTTCCTTAGAACAAACACGTTTCTAAACAAGGAACTGCTACCAAAGTTTCTTGTGTTGTCTCTTTCTAGACGAAATGGAGCACTCTTCCCTTTCAAACTTTGCAGTTGCCATTTGGGTTCCAAGCTAGAGGACTAAAGGTCAAGAAACTAGCAGTAGGTAGCATCCAAAATGCTTCGATATGGATTCTCACCTGGTTGGTATCCAATGCATCAGCCAGTAACAGAGAAAAAACAAAATATGTAATAGTAGGAAATCTGAGCTAGATATCTGGAGGTGGGAAAAGTGGATGGCAGCTTCTGTAGCACTCTCAGAGCAAGATGGTGGTTGTCTGGTATGCAAATGAAAAAAAGGATAGAGAGACAGAACTGCCCAATACAGCTCCCCGCCCAGTGCCAGATTGCTGTAGAAGGAAATGAGCCATAAAATTCAGACTGTACTGTGAATTACCATACTGCTGTTTCTGCCAACCTCCAGATTAAACAGCTAACTACTGCTACTCCAAGAGACTTTAGCTGACATGACCACCTTGTGTTCTCTAAGTCTCTCATTCCCTTTCCCACATTTAGTGAGTACGGTGGCTGCGGAGGGTCACTTATTACCTCTTATCTGGACCAATACAGCTATTTGTGATTCGCAGCAGTAAGTCATCTTTCACATCTTTGAAGACTACTCAGCCTTGTAAGGACCATGCCCATTTCTGAACAGCCATGTTAAGAAGCAAAATGAAGAAAACCACACATTTATGGTGCCTTTAGACTGCTTTTTATTTCTTGAACAGGAAGAGCAGATATTTATAGAACCACTACGAGCAGGAGTGTTAAGCACTTGACATCGTGTCACTTCTTCATTCGGGGTGTATGTTCTGTTTTTATAGTGCAAAGTGTTTTAAAGGAACAGAGTAAGTCTTCAAAAAATAATGTTTATTGGTAACGTTAACCAGCTTTTGTTTTGCTGACCCATAACCGAAAGTTGTCAGAAGCACACAAAAAAAAAAATCTAAAATAAAGCTTTATATACAGCAGGGGGAGAGCTCTTAGCTGTCCAATGCCATCAGTTTAAATTTGATCCATTAAAACTAACTATCCTGAATTACTATTCACAGTTCAATACACTGGGAATTGAAGTGTTCCAATTTTTTTTTTTTTGAAGGTACAAAAAAATTAAATTGTTTGCTTTAGTTATAAAGAGCTCTGTCAATATACACAAAACTATACACTTCAGACATTCACAAAAATGTGAGCAAAAGGGATTATCAAAAGACATTTAATACAATTAGTTCAGTAACCCCTCCATTGTGGTCCACATCTACAAAGTTGTCCAGCCCCACCCACCCAATCCAAACCCCTCCCCACAGAAAAATCACATACTTACCACAAGTTTTAGCAAGTATGGTTTAAAAAAAGGGCCCCCCTAGCAAGTTATAGTTCAATTGCCACTGTCAACAGATCTGGACCTTGACCGAGACCTCTGCCGGTCAGATGCTGGAGATTTAGATCTACTTGAAGAGCTACGTTTCTGGCTCTTTTCTGGCATAGGAGATCTACTAACTGAACGAGACTTGCTACGGCTCCTACTCCTTGACCTGGTGTAGGATTTGCGGCTTCGGGAGCGAGACCGGCTACGAGATCTAGATGAACTTCTGCTACGGGAACGAGACCGGCTTCTGGACCTACTGGAAAACAAACAAACAAACGCATTAGCATCATGTACATACTGAAACCCAAATTATATTTAGATGTAGATTCATTTGGCATAAAGGGGAAAAGTATATACCTGTGTCTTTTGCTGCCTTCAATTAGTTTAATTTTTCTTCCATTGATTTCTTTGCCAGAGAGCTTTTCAATAGCATTTTTTAAATCACTGTAAGAGGCAAACTCAACCACCCTACAAAAGAAAAGCCACAGAAGTTGTTAGGTAATTCATGATATGACTACACAATTCTAAATCCAGCAGCATTACAGCACTTGACATTTTTAGGTGGACTGTTTTTGCATCATGCTAGTATGCATCACACACACCATTGTCCCCAAGTGATTAGTGTTATACAGTTCCTTTTTGGACCAGTCCTGTCATTACAAGGCAGCCTGAAAAAAGACAAGTTATAACTACTCATTCCAAAATATTGAGTCTAGTTCCTATTTAGAAGCGCTTTGTAATACTACAAGATTTAGTATGATACTGGTTTTAGACACTTACCCTTCATTTAGCTTAGGTCTATGTGCATCTGCAAAGGTTACTTCCCCAGCTTGTCTCATGAAGTCTTTGAGATCCTAACATAAGACCAATTACATTATTCAAAGAAATTATAGCATTTAATTTAATTGTGTATATAAAATTTAAAAACAAGCAAAAACCCCATACCAAAATAAAAATAAGAAAAAAAAAAAAGACTACTGAAAGAGAAAATGTTAGATAAATTACAAACATGGCAATGCCACACTTGTATTCTATACAAAAAAATTCTATGTGGATCAGGGCACGAAATAAAAGCCAAAAAACAAAACAAAAAAGCCACAGCATTTGCCTTTAAAGCAAGATGCTCATGAAGTCAGATTTAACATTAAAAAGAAGATATTAGTCTATGTACTGAGTTGAGTGCAAGCTACTTCCCATATATTTTTGTAGCATAAAAAAAAGAAAGACTGAAGAACAAGTCTTATGTTTATACAGAACATATACAAGACACCAGTAATTTTGTGCCCCATATGTCATTAAAAATATAGTTTACTTTACCTTCATTAATATTTCCCTAGGCTAGCCAAGCAGCAAACTGCATTAAGCGATCGGAGATACCGTCATGACATATGCCCGACTGGCTCTTCGCCACCCACTTGAAGAACACTACCCAGTCGATGGAAGCCTTTAATCGCACAGCCCTCCCTATTAGCAGACTACTGATGGATGCAGACATTTTCTACTCTTGAAGTTACCAAGGACCACTTTACTGCGATCAGGATTCCAACGACCACCTAAACGCGCATCTTTCAACTCTTTTCGACCAGGACCTCTTATTCGGAAGCGTTACAGGAGGAACAGCTCTCAACTTAGGGATCAGATCTCGTTAACTCTCTGGGATCGCTGCAATGTGGCACTTTAAGGAAGTGCATCGATTACGTCTAGACCGGCAAACACAGATCTAGAGGTGGCCAACTGACATTGTAGGAGCTGACTGGAAAGTCAACCAGGCCCAACCAAGAGTGACCAAGACAGAACGATTAGGATAACCCACAGGCACTCCTCGTCATAAGGCCAACGACACAGATAGGCTGGCAAATAAAGGGTTTAATATGTGGTTAAAATTGATTTAAAAAACAAGAAAAAAATAAAAAATTCCTCAAATATTTAAATTTACAATTTACATAATATTAAGACTATTTTAAAATACTGTAATTATATTATTTAAAATTACATTAACTATAAAAGTTGCATAAATATTTCAATTTAATGTAATAAAATAGTTTTAGTTAAAATGTACTTGGGTATTATCAATCATCATTACATACCCATTAAATGAAGTCAAAAGAGTTAATCGTTTTTAACAAACCTGCCAGCTGACTCGGGAAGATAGATTTTCTACTATGAGACGATTTTCTGTTCGAACAGGGGGAGCATTTCTGTGTGTGGGGGGGGGAAAAAAAAAAAAAAAGAGTTGCAACATCCCGAGGTTTAAAAGCAGCGGAACTATCAGTTGTCAGGGCATATGCAGCCTTTAAATGTTAAGGCATAACTACCATTAATTAACATACAAGCTAACACTACCTTTCAGAGAATAAG